GGGTGCGCCCATATATATATATATGTGTGTGTGTGTGTATATATATATATGTATATATATGTATATATATATACACATCATCTACGTGCAAAAATTCGGATTGGCACTCCTCTTCGCCTCCACATCTGCGAGAACCAAGTTTCCACGTTGTGGACCAAGGTTTCCAGATGCCACTAATCTGAGGTCATCATACTTGCACCTCTAATGGCGGTGCGTGCTGTAAGTCGCCACAAACAGGGCTAAGCAGGGTAAGGAAGAAAGCATATGCTAGAGGCAATACATTGCGAAAGCAGGCAGGCCCCTAAGTCCTACATCCTAACCCCAAGGCCCGCCCCAAGCCTTTGTCGCGAATGGGCTGTCAGATTTTTCGACTGGTCAGCGGCCTTGTACCCTCTCAGCCGAACGAGCCTGGGACAGGTCTGATCTGTTTGTGTAGTACAGTCTTGCTGAAATTATTTAAGGGGGTTTGGAGTCTAGGGGCTCCGCATTTCTGAAACTGACTCATTCGTCATTTTTCCAGCCCTTGCCAATCGAAGGTGCAGGTGCAGCTGCGGGGGGATGGTGTGACACGGCAGGCAAGCGCCTGAAACAAGGCCCGGCAATAAGCACGCCTATGGCGATGGCTCTCAAGTCTCGTCCTCACCATCGTAACCGCTGCCTGGCACCTCACGAGCATTGATATCGAAGCCAGTAATGCGGATGCTGCTTCTTCCGCTCTTTTCCCAGTCCGCCCAAACCTGACCGGACAGAGGACGCAGCCACGGTCTGCTGCTGAATGCCCTGAAACCTATGTCCTACCCATAGGCCCCCAAGTAGTTCCCTTTTGTGGTTTGTATTTAGAATCCTACAAGGTAACCCCAAAAAGGAACTACTTAGGGGCCTATGGGTAGACCAGTCTAAATCAGAGCGCCTCAGACTTCACCGCTGGATCTTCAACCGAGCCGGACATGACCCAAAAACAAAACAAACCTAAACTTCAAACCCAAAACCCTAGGTTGAGGATCCTAAGACTGGGGAAGTAAAGTTATAAGTACCTTCATTATGGGCTCTACGTCATTATTCGCCTAGCTACCCTAATCATGGCCCTAGTTACTATGTTCCATGGTCCCCACAGTACCGTCGGGAGACCAAGATCCCCCACCTCATGGACCTCGCCATCAGCCGATGTGCCTCCAGCATAAGAGGTATCAAGCTTTCCCAGAAAGTCCTGGTGGCAAGGTTTCAGCATTTCAGGGCTTAGGGTTTAGGGCTTCAGGGATTTAGTGTTTAGGGGGTTATTACATAACCTTGAAGCTGCTACTAACCTTCACAAGGGCCTTGGCAGAGAGCCGTGGAATGACTTTCCGACCGCCTTCCAGACCTCGGCGTTTAGGCTTGGGGTGGGAGTTTGGGGGTCGGGCTTGAGGGTTTGGGGCTTCGAGTGTGGTTGGGGGTCTTGGGGTTTGAGGTGACAAAGGCTAGAGTCTAGAGTTGAGAGTGTTAGAGTTTGCACTTGCCCTGCATTTCCAAAAATTCAGGCGACTGCATGTCTCGACAGCTGATGAGATCCAGCCTGCCTAGAGCCGCCTTTTCCTTCGCTGCTCCAGTCACACAGGAGCCTACCCATAGGCCCCTAAGTAGTTCCTTTTTGGGATTACCTTATAGGATTCTAAATATAAACCATAAAAAGGAACTACTTAGGGGCCTATGGGTAGGGCGTTTCGACTTTTGCCGGGATCTCGCGCTGTAGGTGCAGGTTACTACTAATTACTCAGAGGGAGGCTCGAATACCTCTACTCACAATTCGCAGCCGGCATTGGGCCCCAAAACTCTACCCTGAACTTCGCCAAGGAGCCCAGAAGGCAGATGGTAAAGTTCAGAATTTCATCTCCCTCTTTCAGCGGGACATCGACAGGATGCGGGATCACCCCAAAGAGCTGGCAGGGCGGAAAGGTCTCGATCTCAATATCACTTTTCACCGTCTCCTGAGCGGTTCTTGGAAGCCCTTCAAAGGCCCCTGCTTTAATGAGGCCTAGTGCGTTTTTGCTGCTTCTTAAATATCATACTGTAATCATACTACATACTCACATAAAAAAGCGCTTGTTCAAGAAACATTTAGTATCGAGGGAATACTTCTGCCCGTTGATCTCAAACTCGAAGCCATGGGTAGGCTTCGCCATGGGCGAACTTCCCTTGGAGATGCCCTTGCCGCTAGTGATCACTACTTTGCTAGACCACTCCAATGGTCCCAGGCCCTACCTGTAACCGAAAAAGCCTCCCTTTTTCGGTTTCTTTATTAGAGTTTCTATATATTAATATAGTTCCAAAAAAAAAAAGTAGGTCTTTTCGGTAACAGGTAGCCCCTCAAGCCTATCGCCAACTTCCGAAACCCGAAACCCTAAAACCGCATACTTCACGTCCGAGTCGAGCCCATGAGGACTGCTCTTTGCGGGAGCGTCTTGACGAGGAGTCGGGAAGGAAATCTATAGGGTCCATGTTCTGGGCGTCCGTCTACATATAGTCATCAACTTTTGGAGGATCCGAGTGTTTTTTAGGGCCTTATCAGGGTCTGCCACATCTCTGAAACACCCTGATCCGTCTTCTTTTCTCCTGCTGCTTCAAGGTAGAGGTGCAGCTGCGGGGGATGGTGTGACACGGCAGGCAAGCGCCTGAAACGAGGGCCCGCAATGAGCCCGTCTATGGCGATGGTTCTGGTAATTTGTAAGACTCTTCCTCTTCCGGTAGATTTGGGTCGTCCTTGCCATCGTAACCGCTACCTGGCACCTCACGAGCATTGATATCGAAGCCAGCAATACGGATGCTGCTTCTTCCGACCTGCCGGACAAAGGACCCAGCCACGGTCTGCTTCTGAATGCCCTGAAACCTATGTCCTCGAGCAGTCTAAGGCCCCCTAAACTCTACGTGGAGGATCATGGGACTTAGTAAGTAAGGTTCTATATGTAACTACCGTCGTTTGGCTTCTACTTTACTACAACTATAACCCTAAGGGTCCAAGTACCTCATAATCATATATTCTCCCAAATCGTTACCTACACAACTACTATATGAAACCTAAGTACCTAATTATTGGGTCCTTTGGAACCTTAGGGTAAGGTATAGATAGCTAGCCTCGTAAAACCTTAAACCCGAAACAGGGAAGATCCCCGACCTCAGGGCCCTCACCATCAGTCGATGCCTCACGAAGCTTTCCCAGAAAGTCCTTGGCGGCCCGAAACATTTTGTTATTTTTTGTTTAGGGTTTCTCAGGTTTTTTTGGGGAAAATTATAGCCGAAAAGTCCAGCTACGTCTAAGTTTTGATGTCCAACTTCTAAACCCCCCAGAGCTTCAAAGCCCAAATGACACCTGGGGCCTAGCTTACTTGAGGCCTTACTAATTACACAAAGGCTGTTGGGGTGCACTAAGCTAACAAAATAGGTATCATTACATGGGGACTACTAAAGGGATAATTGCTAATATGGCTCCGGCCCCCGTTCAAAGAGCTTGAAGCTAGACCTTGAAGTTGCCAAACATCCCCCCTAAAGCTCAGCAGGTCCAGTTCGAGCAGTCTCTAGCCGAGCTCACTACTTCCGTCTCGGAAATAACCCACCCTTCCCACCCCATAAGGAAACCGAGGTTACTACCACTTTCTGTTGAAACCACAAGAAATCCTCGACCCAAGAGCCGGGAAACCCTCAATCCGGCCAAAGCCCCAAACTCGAAGTGCCACAAACCCAGGCCCCCATTTGCCTCCCCAAAAACGCCTAAACCCTATAAAAAACCAAACACATCATCGGGCCCTAAGCCCAAGGCCCCCAGGGGCCCCAAACCCTATAAGCCGCAAAACCCTAAACGAAGTCGGAAAAAAAAACATCGACGAATCAAGAACGAACTTGCGAGAATACTGCCAAGAAATCGCGAACCGCGAACGACAAGAAGAACTCGCAGAAAACTACAAAATCGCGAAAATCGACGACGAAATCGCAAAAAGACACGACGAACCCGCTAAAATCACCAAAGGTCGCTGTTAAAAAGCACTAAATTAAAAAAAAAAACTGCTAATCCATTCAACTCTAGCATACATAGTAGCAATAGAGAGGTTTGGGGTTTGGAGTTTAGACTGCATTAAACCCAGTCTCGCAGGAGAAGCTACAAAACAACATACCCTCAACTCTGCACGCCGTCGAAAGTCGTGACCATCCGCAGAGCATCCTGCACTGTCAACCCAGACGCCTGAACCCCTTCGAAAGCCCCACAAGCCAAAACCGTAGAACCCCTGTTAAGCCTAAAACCAGGAGGCCCCAGAACGAAACCCTTGAAAGGGACCCTTAAAGGGACCCTTAGAGCCCAAAGAGCCCTGTGAAGTCCTGGGGGGGTGCCCTCCAATCCATACCAAACCTCACTAGAGGGGTAATTTGACTCAGTAAGGGATATAAGTACCTATCATGGGCCTAAGTCTATAGGTAGTTATATGGGTACAGTTACCTTTTCCATAACCCTACTTACTAAGTGCCTTGATTGATCCCGAAAGCAACCACAATGTCACAAGGCCTTGGCAGAGAGCCGTGGTATGACTTTCCGACCGCCTTCAAGACCTCGGCGTTTAGGTCTTCGGGTTTGCTTGGGGTGGGAGTTTGGGGGTCGGGCTTCGGGGGTTTGGGGCTTCGAGTGTGGTTGGGGGTCTTGGGTTTGGGGCGGCAGAGGCTAGAGTTTAGAGTTTATAGTGTTAGGGTTATAGGGCTCGGGATCGAGGATTCGCGTGTGCACACGCGCGCTGCGTTGGCAGATGCTCGAAGATCATGTAGGCGCAGGCAGGTCTAGGCAGCTGATGAGATCTGGCCTGCCTAGAACCGCTTGAAGCTGATCAATTCACACAGGAGTCCATGAGCAGCTCTTGACACTCTGGGTTCGGGTGTCTATGATATTTACTGTACGGCTACTTTCGAAGTCTACCAGGGTCTCCTAATGCGCCCTCGACAGGTCTCGAAGTTGCAGGCGGTGGCCATGACGGAGAAATGCCACTAAGAATCGAACGCCTCAAAACTCTAACCTTAACTCCGCCAAGGAGCCCAGACGGCAGATGGTGAAGTTCAGAACTTCATCTCCCTCTTTCAGCGGCACATCGACAGGACGCGGGACCACCCCAAAGAGGTAGCAGGGCGGCTCGGTCTCGATCTCAATATCACTTTTCACCGTCTCCTGAGCGGTTCTTG